AAACCAAATCAAACTGAAGTACATATAGATTTAGAATAGTAGTTATATTTTAATAATCGAAATACCAAAAAATCGGACAAAAAATTGAGCCGAACCGAAACCCGATATCCGGATTGAACACCTATAATCCGAATGAAACCGAACTATTGTTTCATTTTTCAAAACATAATAAAAATAATAGTTTCATCCCGCGCAAGGCACGGGTCTTATCCTAGTATGTTTATATGGACCAACATTTTTCTCTAGTAAATTTGAGAAGCATTCTCGTGCTGACACGTGGCTACCAAAGAGTAATACTGATCACAAGAACGCCAATATATAGTCTTTTTAGTAAGACTCTCGTCTTTCATCTATCATAGGTAAAAGTGGGATCTTTCGCGTTTAAAAAATGAAGGCTGCCATTTGGTTCTACGTTTCCCGTCTTTTTTGATTTGCTTGTTCTACGGCTTAACATGACGCCTAAACATGATGATTTCCATGCCATCGTGGCTGTGGCCTAACTAGCCATGATGTTCATTATTGGATATATGAAAAAAAAACCGAGGCTATGTATTATGTATATCCTGATCGAATAGGGTAAGCGAATGAATGCTGTTAGCTACATATCTAGGATCACAAAATCCGTGACAATACATTATTAAATATGTACGGAACCATCTAAAGCAAATTTCCTTGTTGTTGTTGTTGTTGTGTATCTAAAGCACGATTTGCAGTATATTGAATTGAATTTATAGTTCTTTCTTAGATTGAATTGCAGTGAATATTGGCCTCTAATCTATATCATCAATAATTTTACCTGCATTAGTTTCTTTCTAGTAACTACTTTACCAGAAATTTTGTTAATGTTATATATATATATATATATATATATATATATATATATATATATATATATATATATATATTTCCTATATATTAAATGAGAAACATTACAACAATTTTTGTAGCCACGTGACATTACCACAAATAATTCTTAAAATTGTTAGAAAATATGTTGGTCCATCTAAATATATAATAAACTTTTTATTAAACTAATCATAAATTAATCATTAATGTTATTCCTTGTTTCCTTAAATAAAAATAACACAATTTCCAAATATGGCTAAAGTATATATGACAATTAATGATTTTTCAACAATAAAGATTAGATAAAAATTAGTATATTCTCTATTATTTTTAAAAAAATTAACTTATTAAAAAAATTAAATAACCACATTAATTATATAAAAATTTAGTTTTTTGCATATATTATATATTAAAATTTTTAAAACGACTAAAAATGATTGAAGTTGTTAAAATCTCGCACTGGATTTTTCTGATCCATGGTTTAAAATTTATGTTATAATAAAATATAAATGATTAAAAGTTTTGTTATAAAAATATACAAATAATCAAAAAACAATATGAGTACAAACTATAATTTAACAGATAGTGATATTAAAAATGTATATACCTTATAAAATAGAAAAAGTGTTGAATTAATAAAATTTATTTATGTGTTTACACCAATTTAATTATATACGTAATACTGAATTTTTAAATACCAATATATATTTATTATTTCATAATATGTAAAATAATATATAATACGTAAAAATAATTTATATATTATATTCATTTTGCGCAAGGCGCGAATATCTAGTATATATATTATTTGTTAATGTTACAACATCATGAAGATATATTTTGAGTTGCTCATGAGCTCGTTTATCAATAACCAAATATTAATAAAAAGACCTAAATCTCTTCTTTTTCTTTGACCTACCAACTATACATAATGCATAATAAAGTCTCTTTCTTATTAATTATGTATTATTTTGATATCTCCCGTTTAGGATAATGCAGGATTGTTATTGAAGTACAAAGGAAACAAAATCTTAAAACAATAGAATCACGGAAACAAATACAAAAGAATCAAATAAATCGTTACTTCTTATATGATTTTGAGCTAATTCACTCTTATATATAGAGTTTTCCTTTTTCTTTTTGGGAATTCGATTTGCATGTACTGTAGTATTATTAATTTAAAGTCAGTCGTATATATTTGAAATCTAAACAATTAATATACATAAAACAAGAATATCAACAAATTTTAAGCAAAAAATAAAACAAGAATAGCAAGAAATAAAATCAAATAAACCAACTTGTACGAATCTTTATATATATTTTTTCTTTTAGAAGTCCTCGAAATTAACGAGTCAAGTGTACCTGGCAAGTACTCCCCTCCCCGTACCTACTTTACTTCAAGCCAAAATTCCAAAACTACCCTCTCCTCCATATAAAAACCTTCCCTCACTTCAACAAAATTCCTCTCATTCATTCATTCATTCATTCATTCTCAACAAGTCTTATCACTCTACAAAACTTTCTCTCTCTCTCTCAAACCACAACACAAAGATGAAGCATCTGATCCGCCGCCTCTCCCGCGTCGCCGACTCCGCTCACTACAACCTCCTCAGGTCAGATTCACAACGGCCAAGCCGCCGTCCCGAATCTTTCCTCCGCCGCGTAAAGAAGCATGCATCATGTGTTCCCCAAGGACACGTACCGGTCTACGTGGGAGAAGAGATGGAGAGGTTCGTTGTCAACGCGGAGCTACTTAACCACCCGGTTTTTATCGGTTTGTTAAACCGGTCTGCTCAGGAGTATGGTTACGAGCAAAAAGGAGTCCTGCAAATCCCTTGTCACGTTCTTGTCTTCGAGCGCGTTATGGAGTCTCTTCGTCTTGGATTAACGGTACCAAGTGACCTTCAAGAACTAATAGGGGACGAGACGGGTTTTTAGAGGAATCTTTGTTAGGTAGAGAGTTATGGATCTGCTTGTTTTTTTTTTTTTGTTAAGATGTAGTGTAATACTTCGTCGGTGTTGATAATTGTACATAGGCTATATGTTTTTTTTTTAAAAAAAAAAATTGTTTGTTGCAAGTTTCCTAATTTTTTTCCGGTTTAAGAATCGGTTTGGATATGAATGTAAGCGTAATTTCTTGGTTTATTCTTGTACCGATTGAGCAAAGAATTAAAAAAAGATGGAATTGATGTTTCACCGAGATTACTGGAAGGGTAAATTCGTTAATGTGATAAAAGTAATGAGCGTTACTTGAATATTTCTCTAAAGTCTTACCCGTTACCAAATATTCTCTACAGTGGTTTTCGGTTACTTTTTAGCTTTGTTTGTATCATTTTAAAGTGTATATTCTAAGTACGGTATAGTGCCAAAATGCATAGTAATGTATTGAAAAAATAATAATTCCATTTCCGGAAAAGTTATTAAATCATGTGGGGTTGCATTTGCATATGTATTTGCATCCTCTCAGATCCAAACACCTTAAATCGTAAACTTGATGTCTCATGCCTAGGTAGGTCACAAAACTATATGAAAACCAATAGTAAAACCAAAAATCCCATAACAGTCGCGAAGGAGCTGAATATAGTGGTAGGTTTAGTATGCATATACTCTCTGTTGCAATTTAATCTATGTTTTAGAAAAAAGAATTTGTTTTTAAAAAATGTATATTTTTTACATTTTCAATGCATTAGTTAATGTTAAATTGTAAATTTCAAAACATTTATTTAAATCTCACTTGTTAGAAGTTATGCGGAATAGAAAGTTACAAAAAATAATGCATTGGTAATTAAAAATTAATAATTTCTTTTAACATGCGTAAAGGGAATAGTTATTAACAACGATTAAATCCTACCACATTAAATAACTCGAGCTATACGGAGTATCAATTAACAATGAGCTCGCTGAAACCAATATTAACTCTTCGTCACTAACTAAACCAGTGAGCTTGCTGTAAAAACCAATAGTATTACATAGACAATAGTCTAAATATAAATGCACATATGTCATCTCACTTTATTTGCATTTGAAGCAATATCATTCGCGCATATTTATTACACACATCAAGGTTATGACCTTTTTCCAGCACATGTGTGTATATATGCTTTATACGTCCCAAGTGAACTACATGTGGAAGTTTAACTGTCCCACATCTATATATGGATTCTCAATGATAATACGTATCCATAGGCGTCATAGTTTAATCAAAACTAATTATTGGTTGCCTTTTAGAAAAAAAAAATTATTGGTTGCCTGACTAATCTGAGGAAGGGTAATAATAGACTTTGAAATTTCGTCCATTTATATGTTTTCCCATGTTGCATCACCTGCAGCATCACATGCTAGTTATACAAAGCAGCAATTCACAGTCAATCATTATTGTATGTTTCTCTTGTTTTGTTCTATTTATTATTAATTAATAGTACGTTTTATATATTAACACTAATCTCGTCTCTACTGATCCAACTTGTCAAGGTAACAATAAACTGGAAAAAGCCAGCTATATAAACATTCATCGTACACATGTATAGTGATGTTAGATTTAATACGTATATATATATATAATTATAGTCAAATTCATCGAGCCAAATATACTGATCCACATTACGTATCTTTAATTTCTTTGAACACTAATGTCCGAGAGAACTTTGATTACAGTTGGTTTGACGGAAACAACTATATGAAAGTTTTCTTTCTTATATTTTCCTCAATGAACTAATTATGATAGTTATCTAGTGTGTAACCGATTTTTTCGTCACGATTAGAGGAAAGTCCCACAAAATTCATTAAGCATCTTTCAGCGGTAAAACACTAACGACGTAACTGAAATGACAAAAACTTAAAATAAAAGGTCATTGTTTAATAATGCCATTAAAAATTCGAATGAAAATGACAACATGTTAGTATATAATCTTAATTTTTTAAAGAAGATTTTTGCAAGGACATAGTGATAAGAAACTTGGGCAGCTCATTTCAAGTACGAATGGGACTATGTTGCTTTCGAGGAAGCGACTGACCTCATGATTGATTCAATTCTTTAAACTTCGATTCAAGCTGTTTCCTTCATTTGGGATCACAATTTGATTATATTTGCTTACTCATATTTTTTTAAATAAATATTGTTTGCCGACACATAATATTTTAATCATCGTCACTAATTTTTCTTATGGTAGAAATGCAGTATATTCCATGAGAGAGAGCAACTATTCCATCAGAAGCTGTTCACAAGACTAAAGGATACCGATAATTCTTTCTAAGCTTTATGCCTAAATAACATTGTATGTGCATTTTTACTGGCTTATGTCGTTTTTTAAAACATGTCATAAACCGATATTTCATTTATCATCCCAAAAAGATAATAGCATCGGAATACATAGAATTCAAATAAAATTTGTACGACTTTAAACTATCATGCGATATTTCCGAAGAAACACACATACAAATCATTTTTCAACTTTGGATCCAACGTAAACGAAGAATAAGACGAGTTGCTTGCTTGTCATAACTCTGATTATCTCTGAATATGGATAGGCTCCGTTGTTGAGCAGCGTTTAAATTCACTTAATACAATTGAAAATGCATATATCTATATATATGAAAACTCGAATCTTTTTTTTTTTTTGGTAAACATGTTAAATTCATACCTTTTTCTGAATGTTTACATGTTGCTTAACAATTTATTTGAGATAAAACAAGGAAACGTAACAACCCTAAACCAAAAGAGAGAGCCCACGTCAACTCTATTATACAAAAAACAAATTCTTATTTCTTTTTATTTACTTCTCACATTGTATTTTCTAGATTTAAGCTTCCGAAACTGTTTCATGTAGGGTTTAGTTATGATCTTTTTTTTTTTCCATTCACAATCTAAATAGTAAATTAATGACATTTATTTATCCATCTATGTATATATATATATATATATATATATATTTATGTTATTATTATTATTTTTAACACATTTTATATTATTATTTACAAAGTGATTTTTCTTATCTGTTACATTCTTCATTATTTTAGGTAATTTTGCTATTTGTCATATTTTAGAAATTTTAGTTGGTAAAATTTGCTGATTTATCACGTTCTCCATAATTGTATGTAGTTTTTATATTTTTCATATTTTAAATAATTTAGTTGGTAATCCTATTTTAAAATAATTTTATTTGGTTATTATAAGATATAACTATTTAAAAAGATGATCGAGTGGAGGGTAAAATATTACTTGAAAATCACAGTTAAGAATAATTTAAATGATTTTTAAGGTGTGCATTTGTTGGTTATATTATTTAAATAAATATTAATATGAACATAACATCATAATCGTTTAATATAATATTTATTGATTTATGTGAGTCTATTAGTTCTGTCTTACAATATAATTTGTTTATTTTCATAATTTTTATGATTCTAAAGAAGTCTTCCAAAAAATTTATTGAGAGAAGATTTTAACTTGTTTTCTGTTTATAATTTTTAAAGTTTTTTTAAAGAAGTCTTTTTTATTGATAATGTTAAAGAAAGATTTATAGTATACTATTATCTGAGAAGTAAATTTTCGCAATTGTCATATTTCCATAATTTTAGATAGTTTTGATTATTTGTCATGCTTTTATGATTTTGACTAATGATTAATTATTAATCTTAATATTAGATTTATTACTATATAACTAACTATAAATTAAAAATGAATTAATATATAAATAACCTTAATAATAACAATTTCATTGATTAGATGTTTATCATTATCTGAATGGTTTATAGTAATCAACCATAAACTAATGTATAATTGACCATCAATCAAAAATAAATTTCATTAAATTGATAATTATCCGTATCTAAAAATAATTGATATTATGTTATAAAGTCTTTATTAACATTAATAGACAAGTATATTTGTTAATATATAACTAACCATAAATTAAAAATAAATTCCTTGATTGGATAATCATCAGTGTATAAAAGTAGTTTTAGTTGTGTTATTAAAAAAATATTTTACATTAGATTTTTTTTAAAATAATAATAAAATATAAATCAACATAAATATATATATATATATAGTATATAATATGATGCAAAAATAACATTTTCAAATTTATTTTCCACAAGACAAGATAAATTTTATTATGTTGACAGATTTTCTCAAGTGTAAAAAACTTAATATTTAATTTATTACTAAATATTATAAAAGCATTAATATTTTCTAGTTTATGTTAAGTGATAAAAAATATTTATGTTACAACAAAAAATTATATATATTGAGGTTATTCTTTAATTTTATTAAATATTTTGAATGTATGGACATTAATTTATTATAATTTTGTTTCAACTGATAATGTATTTACTTCAAAATATTTGTAAAACATATATCCACACGTGCGTGTAAATCCTATAGTTTATAATAAAAAAAATAGAAGACAAGTAACTAATAATATCAAAGCATGATCTAATATTTTACACTTGTTATTTCTTATATACTTATAAATATTAAAATTTTGCGAATATCAGACTTAACAGGATAAGTAGTTGAAAAACCGAGATAAACATTAGTCGAATAACAAGTATAACATAAGTTAACAAGTATTCGTGTCCAACTGGGTCTTCTCTCCTATCTTCTACTTCATCTTCTCTCATCTGAACTTCACTTAGTTATGTTTTCTCCCTCTCTTCTTACTATATAATAATTTATTTCATTGTATTTTACAATTTATTTTTCGATAAATATTCCACAATTTCTTAAATATATTTTTATTTTTCTTTTAATTTTATTGTTTGACTTCAAGGGCTGACGAAAATGGATATATAAAATTAATTTTGTGAAATATTTTTACAGATTAGTATAGCACTGTCATTCCATACATTGACCAATTGGGACAACATATTATATTTATAAACATGTATACTCATTTACACATTCTTATTTTAGAATAAAATCTTGCAAATTTTGTTAACAAACAATGCATGCTGCATATTGACAAAAGGAGACGTCACAATTGATTAAATTAAAATATACGAAATAAATACTTAAATTCCATTAACTGAATTAAATTTTGTTTACTCGTGTACATGAATAAGTGGCGTGACCTTTGTGGTCTCATAACCCTTGACACGTACATGTGTATGTGTGTATATAAACATGAATATCTCCATCAGATTCTCTAAAAATTAAAGTCGGTGTGTGAGTGATGGATAAAGGAAGAACACCATGCTGTGAAAATAGCCAAGTAGTACTGAAGAGAGGGCCATG